TATGCGCGATCTGAGCATGCGTTCAGTTTTACCTGTGTACTTACAAGGGCAGCGTATGCAGGGGATGTGATACGCCAACTCTTGATTGCTCTTTGGGATTAAGTCGGTCTTTTATTTCTAGCACCCTGCTGCGCATGCTAGCTTTGAGACGGTGTGCAATTCCGCCTCCTAGTCCAGCAGCGATGCGCTCAGTCGCTTCTGAAACATCCTTGATGCATGGCAGAGCGTGCCATATAATCTGTGGTGCTTCTGTTTTGGTCCTCCGATGCCGAACGCGTAGGCATCGGCTACTAAACGTCTTCGGACATCCATTTCGCATAAATGGGTCGCGAAGATATCGGCCTAGCATACCTTTGCCTCCGGCCCACAGCAGTGCGGCTAAACCCCTTTAAGAGCCTTCTCATGCAGCTTCGTTTGTGAGCAATCGGATGGTTGCTGTGAAACTAAGAAGTTGTGCTGTGATCGTTACCCAACTGTAAACCTTCGTTTCTATTTCACCGTTGGGCACTCTCTTGAATAAGACATTAAGGAAAGGCAGCTGCTGTTCCTGCTCTTCTTCCCTCGTAAATTTTACGTCAGGGGAGATTCTACTGAGAAAGTTATGCAAGTTTTGCAGGATAGTCTTTTTGACGATAACAAATGTGTCATTAACGTAGCGACGCCAAAAGACAGACTCAAATAGATGGTGAATACAGTGTTTCCTAGCTCCTGTAGGACCAATTCTGCCACTAAACCGGAGATTGTAGAGGCCAGTGGAGTTTTTTTGATCTGATTACAGGATTCTCCAGCAAAGGTAAAGTACTTTTTGGCAAAATTCGAATAACTTCATGTGTTCAAGTTTGGGAAGGTTCCGAGCCTTATTATATGCCTCTTCAGGTCTCGTGCGCCAGATTCGGTGGGATGGATGTGAATAACGAAGTCAAATCGGAAAAAGCAACGATTTCTTCCGATCGAATCCTCCGACCTCGAGGATCTTCGAGGGATTGAGAGGCGGATGGAACTGAGGTAGCCTAGTTTCCTTGAAGGAATTTCAGTTTTGGGTATATCCACTTTTCCTAATTATAGTTAGGGCTGTCTTCAAGGGAAACGATTGGCCGTAGTGGAACATTTGGCATGCGAATTTTTCGCAGGCCATAGAATCGTGATGCTGCCCCCCCCC